GCTTATAATAATTAATAATAATAATTAACATCAACAAAATAACTATAGAAGCTTTCCAAAAAGTTTATAATAATTATTATAACATAATAATTAATAATAATTAACATCAACAAAATGAAACTATAGAAGCTTTTCAAAAAGGTTACATTACCGTACGATCCTCTTAAAAATCAATCGTAGCAAACTATATCGGTTTCAATTGCAACGGGAAGAAAAATTCTCAAAAGTGTCGCCCTCGACCATGTTTATTTTTTCCCTGTTGAAGAATCTGCTGAAATCTTCGTTCTCGTCAAAAATCTTCCACCTCGTTGTAAACGTTAACGAGGGCAACAAGAAGACGGCAGAAGGAATGCATTAACGATTACGTGGGTGATGCAATTTTAGGTGGATTGTGCATGGTCGAGTTTCGTGATACGACGTTGCGTCAGAGCAGAGCGGCAGAAAACGGACGAGGAACGAAGCAGAGCAGTTCCATTAGGACACAAACTTCCGGAAATTTTCAACCGAGGAAGAGAGAGAGAGAGAGAGAGAGAGAGAGAGAGAGAGAGAGAGATTTGGACGATGCTCGACGACGGATCACTCGAGTATGACTCGGGAATTTCATCTCGCAAAATGCGTGGAAATTACGTGGGAACGATAAATTTATAATAGTCCATGGACTCGATGAAAAATTTTTTTCTCTGGACGAAAGGAACCTCTGTCGACTTTCTTTGAGAATTTCTGTGTAAATTTGTTCAACTGGTGAACGAACGGTGCGTGGATCTCGATAATAATTTATTAATCGATAACAAGCTTGTGACGACAAGCTTGCATAGAAATAGAAGAAAATTAATTAAACTAACAATAAGAAGTCTCTCAGAGTTTCTATTAGAATTTTTACTAGTTTGCAATTTTTTAAAATCACAATATTAGTAATATTAGTTGAATTGAATTCAGATGTGGGAAAATTGTTAATTTTGAAATAAACGTAACAACGTTTTAGGCAATATGCTAGTGTTAAGAGGATAGTGAACAAGAGTTCGTGATGGAAAATCGAGTAACTCTCTATTTCTGAGAAAATAGAAAGCATTTTCCTCGTTAAAAATTTGTGAATAATTAGCAGAAGGATAATAAAATATCTATGTTACACGAAACAATTGTATAATATTGTTTGTATAGATTTATTCGACCAACTTGTCTCTTACGACAAGTTTTCAGAGTAACCATCTTCCTTTGGAATGGTTTTTGATTTCGGTATCGTTGCCATGGAACGAAAGTTGCGAAACGAAACATTATCGGTGCCGCGAATTAATTAAAATAATAAATCAATCTGTTTAATAGTGCGTTGCACACCGCATATTACAACTCCGATGCATCGTTCGTATAATGTACCGTGTAATTAATTAACGAGGTATTAACGATAATAGAAAATTATAAATAGATCTGAAATTATAACCGACGATTTACTTATTTAAACGAGCAGACATCGAATCTCATGAACGAGTTACGTAATTAACATCGGGATAAACGTTTGCATAATTGAAACACCCTCTTCGTGCCCAAACTTTATCAAGAGATTGAAATACCAAGAGATTGAAATTTCTACTTTTCGTCTGGAAAAGTTTTAAATCAAATTTTTTCCTACCTGCATTTCAAAATGCAGCGAGCATATCTGTTCGCGTTTCGCAGTGTAGCCATAAAAATTCTACGGACACTTTGTTCGGCACGTTAATATCCTGAACGTGTGATAAATATCACCACATCGTTCAATGAATCACAAGTTGACCTACCGTAAAAAGAAAAAAAAAAAAAAAAAAAAAAGGAAAAAAGAAAAAGAAAATGCGCAAGGCGCGTCTGGCCGACCGTGAAAAGAAAGATTTCTACTCACGTGTTTGATGGCAGTGTAGCCGGTGATCTGTTGAAGCTTGCTGCTGACCAGCTTCGTCCCCGGTTTCGTCGGTTTCTCGCTCTTGTGCCATATACCGATCACGCCCGTGATTATCAACGCCACCAGCGTCAGAATGCCGATCAACAACGACAGAGTCACGATTTTGCTACGGGGCGATATTACCATTGCCATTTTTCCCGTGTCTTTCGGACTCTCTCCCCTCCCTTGGTCACCAACACTTTTATCGAATCTCCTTTCCAAACGAACAGTCTCCAACCGGTCGCGCAACCAGATGGAAAAACGATCAATCAATCAATAACTCGGATTAACATCAATATATCATTCATGTATACATATATATCTAGGTATATGAATATATTTATATATATATCTCTCTTTCTCTCTCTCTCTCTCTCTCTCTCTTTGTTTCTCTTTTGTTGGGGAAATAGGAGCAGGGACTAACTAGAAATATTCCTCTGACACCGGCGGCGCGCCGTCAACGATTTTCAACTAAGGCTCACGCCTGTTATTATAACTTTATCACGTCCTCGTACTCGAATATCGACGACGTGTCAGCCGAGTCCTCGTGGACCCTCCTTAAAGTCATCTGGCAGAGAGTGTGACTCGGTTCCCCTGGCTCGATCGCCCTTTCCCAAGATCGATCGCCACGATCTCTCGCACAGCCACGTCTTCTCGTCTCTGACCAACGCGACGCCACTTCCAGCGGTCGCCGCGTTTCAAATTTCTCTGCTCGCCACCGTTCGACGTTCCTTCGATTCAGCTTCCGCTCGAAGAATTCTCTCAACGGGGCCCACCTCCGTCGACGAGAGAGATCGCCGAGAGGACTCTCAGTTCGTTCGCTCGTCCCGTTTTCGATCGGTCGGTGTGCGTTTAGCAGCGACTCGTCAACTCTCCTCGAGTTTCGCCCTCTCGGAATTATTTCCTATCGAGCGACGGAAGCTGGACGAGGTCGGCGAGGTTTGACGCACCGCGGAATGACGTCCACTCTTCCTGAAATTCCTTGGTTATCCTCCTTGGTGGCTCCTTCTTAGTTATTTTTCGTCGAGCACCGAGCACTCAATCGCGACGACGATCAAAACGATCCTTCTCTCTCCGTGACTTTTCTCCCGTTGAAAGAATCAAAACTCACACGCGCGTCTCCCTTCCAATCTTTCATCGCATAGATCCGACCGTAACGATTAAAACTTCTTTCATTCTGCACGCGATTGGCTTGACAAGCCAGCCTCGTCAAACTTCGTCAAACTTCCTCAAACAGGTTCGTCGAACTTCGCCGAACTTCGTCAAACGGCGCGCGCGGTACCGGAGAGACACGTCGGACACTTTTTTCCAATTCCATAAATTTCTTTTTTCCTCGGGTCGATCACACGTCGCGCGCGAAATTCCGACGACCGTCTCGCAGAATGACTAAAACAAAACCCAATCGCGGTTTCCTTCTCTCTCAACAACTCGTCTCCTCGATGCGCTCTCGAGAAGAACTCGAGTGAATTTTCAGTCGTAAGAACGGATGTCGAGTTCTTCCGTTCGTTTCTTCTCCCTTTTTTTTTTTTTTTTTTCTCCTATTCTACGCCGAGTTCGTGTTCGTGTTCGTTCCTAATCCCCGAAGCGAACCACCCGTGCACACTCGCGCCGATCAACAAGTTTAACGGTCGCGAGGGGTCAACAACAACGAGTCCCGATAAATTCGTCTGAATAATCAACAATGAACTTCCCCCGTGGGGATTGTTTCAGCAACGGGATACACCGGGAAAGGATACCTTCTATATTAACGGCCCGGTCGCCGTTCGGGGACCGGTTTAACGAGGACTCCGCCAAGCGAGCGGCCTTGAAAGACGACGTTCGATCCCCACGTTCGTGGTTTTCCACGGCCCTCCTCGTCCTCGTTTCTCCACCGTTTTCAGGCTTGGGCCGCAGTCGATTCCGGCGGGCCTCTAATCGCCGTGGAAAGTCACTCTCCTAGATGTTATGAAAACAACCAGACGTCACGAATTTTCCAACCGTCGGATCGTTAAGTTAATGGGGATTCGAGGGTGTGTGAGAGAGAGAGAGAGAGAGAAAAATTCCCGTTCGATGGAGTTTTAAAATACGACTCCGGTGGATTGTTGCGAGAGAACACACAGAGCGCTCGATGGGCCGAGCGTGTTGCAACGTTTAGAGAAGTTTCGCCAGCCAGTTGGAAATTGTGGTTGGATATGCGGTGAATATTTGACGAGGGATTAATGCGATCTTTCCTACGGGTCCTGTGCGACTATTGTGCGCGTTGCGTGAAGTATCAGTTTGACGTTGCAGATAAGAGGAAGTCGTGGAAATATTTTCGAAAATATTTGCGTTAAATTCGTCAAAGACAAGAGTGACACACTCTTCAACTTTTTAATTAAATAAACAGATATTACGACTGTAATATACTAAAATACATTGAGAATAAAAAGTATCGAAACAGAGTATTTCAATAGTAACAAATAGAACATCACTGCCACGTTCTTTAAATCAGTTTGAATTTAGATTGTTGCCATGTTGCTTGTTGTTACTAATTCATCAGTAACTTTGGCGAAATTTCTGTGTTGTTGACGGTTGTCCCCGTTATGTAATTTGTTTCGCAGAATTATCTTCCGCTCTTTAGAAATTACAGCGAAACGTCGAGAACGAGTTACGAAACGTAACTAAAACCCTGCAGATTCTTAATTGAATGCCAGACCATTCGGAACGTTATTAACCATAACGAAATTAATTTTCAATTTTCTCGGTCGAAAGTTCGACAGTTAATGTCGGGGAAAGTATAAAACGAGACGATATAATTTGATAAATTGCTTTTCACTACGCGAAAGTTGGGCATCGACGTAAACTGTCCTGGAACGAGGATTTAATTGCTCGAAGAATCGAACGGCTATTCCCTTTGCTAATCAATCAGAATTGCAGCCTCTGGTGGGTAAAATTGATAACTTGCCAAGAATGCATTCCCTAATAAGATTATGCCTCGAAGCGTTAATGAAGATGAAACTTCTCTAGAGAAAGTTTTCTAAGAAAATCCCGACCAACCCCTATTTTTCGTACGCTACAACCTTTATTTATAAAAGTGATGTATCTGACAAGATTTCATCATTCTTTTCAGACATGCTGCGGTCTGCTCTCGATTGTGGAGTTTTTATTGTGTCAACAAGACAAAAGGAAGATTTCATCGATTTCAGGTATGTAAATTCTCTGCCTCTTTTGATCGCGACTATAATTCAAACGAAAAACAGCTCTACAGATAAATATTGCAGCTTCATCGAAAATTGATTAGGTGACTGAAAACTCTCACTGTGCATTAGCTTCTTACGAATTTTATTATTCTTCTCCCTTCGATTCTAAGAATACTCGGATCGTATATTTCGTTTCTGAAATCCGAATCGAAATTTAAATTCCCGGCATGCATATTCACAAGTTTCCGCGATACGAGTCGCAAATAAAAATCCTTATCCCCGGCTCTTTCGCCTGCAAAAGAATATGTAAAATTTTTGCATACGATTTTCCAATATCCCACTTGAAAGTCTCTTTCACTCGAACGTTCTTAACATGCAAAGTATCAAGTTGATCGAAAAATTCGATTGATTACACCTACTGTACAATGTTATTTGGAAATTTCACAAACATTTGCTGTTTATTGAGTAAAATATATAATGTCGCGAAAAATTAATCTACGCGACGGTGTCTCATTTACGCAAATCCGCGTATTATAAATAATCAGAAATATTATACATACTTAACGAAGGATTTCGTAAAAAATGTAAATTTGCTAAGCTAAGCTAAGCGGAGCTAATAAATTGGGAAAAAATAAAATTGAACGCTTGTATTATATTGGTATGATATTTATAATATGTATAATATTATGTATTATGTGTATTATGTATAATATTATAGTACATGCTGCAATATTATACATGTTACGATATAATACATATTCAAAAATTATGTATGTACATTACAATATTATATATTAATACATCAATACATATTATGCACACGTAATGTAACATGTTATTATATATATATATATATGTATATATATATATATATATATAATATTATTATACGTATATATGTTATTATGTTATAATATTATTACAACATATATAAAAATATATGTTGTAATAATATATATACATATAATAAAACATATATAACATATACGTGTATATGTTATTATGTTATAATATTATTATAACATATATAAAAATATACACATCATTATATAATAATATATTACATATTATGCATAGTAATATATACATGTCACAGTATAGTGTACATTCAAAAATTACATCACAACATCATATATTATTATACATTATATAACATTATAATGATGTTATAACGTATATTATTGTACATAAATATTATATTATACATGTTATAATATTGCAAATGAATGTTACAACATATATTGTCACACATAATATAATAGTATAACAATATAATAATATAATAAATAATAACGAGAGGCGCATAATAATTTTTCAAATACTCGTGTATTAATTCATCGCATTTACATGGCCGTAAAAACGAATGTATTCCTCCCTTTTAATTCGTTCGCGATTAGCAGCCGCCGCTGGTTTTCAGGATGACGAACAAAGCGCGATTCGCGAAGTGGAGCATCCACCGGCGCGCTGGAAATTCCGCGGGGCGAAGCGTAGCGAACAAAACGCGAATTAAGCGGCGCGGAATCACGGCGGAACATGCTCGGATCTTAAACACCCGGGATCAATTTTACCCGCGTGTTATCGCGGTAACAGCATTTTCATTTCGACGAACTTCGTCCGTTACCACAAGGGGAAACGATATTTTCATTTTACGGGGTAAAAATGCCTGGACGAGCGCGCTCGCGAATGTTAATGCGCGTCGCGTCGAAGGACCGTAATGAAAACGTATGATGAAGGTATTAGACTATTTCCGATCATGTTGAATTTCGAGCGCGTCCGCTGCCTTTCTATTATGATCCTGCGTGCATCCGTTTCAGAGTCAAATGTGAACAGTATGGTGACTCAGTTTTGGCAGATGATTTTTGGAATCGTGGAATTCATGGAACATGAATTGAAAATGGGCAAGTGGTGTGAGAACGTCTGACATGTTTGATGAAAGTATATAGTATGTAGTACGTGATATGACTGTGAAAAACAGCTGTTTATAACTATTATAATCCTACGTGCATTCACGAGCGTCAGTCTAAATAGTATAGTTGGCAAATGATTTTTGAGACCATAGAATTCATGAAATCGTGGACAAGTGGTGTGACAACGTTTGACATGTTTGATGAAAGTGTATAGTATGTAGTACGTAGTATGACTGTAGAAAACAGCTGTTAATAACTATTATAATCCTACGTGCATTCACAAGAGTCAGTGTAAATAGCAGTCAATGTAAACAATTCAGTTGGCAAATGATTTTTGGGATCATAGAATTCATGAAATCGTGGACAAGTGGTATGACAACGTTTGACATGTTTGATGAAAGTGTATAGTATGTAGTACGTAGTATGACTGTAAAAAACAGCTGTTAATAACTATTATAATCCTACGTGCATTCACAAGAGTCAGTGTAAATAGCAGTTAATGTAAACAATTCAGTTGACAAATGATTTTTGAGACCATAGAATTCATGAAATCGTGGACAAGTGGTGTGACAACGTTTGACATGTTTGATGAAAGTGTATGGTATGTAGTACGTAGTATGACTGTAGAAAACAGCTGTTAATAACTATTATAATCCTACGTGCATTCACAAGAGTCAGTGTAAATAGTAGTCAATGTAAACAGTTCAGTTGGCAAATGATTTTTGGGATCATAGAATTTATGAAATCGTGGACGAGTGGTGTGAGAACGTTTGACATGTTTGATGAAAGTATATAGTATGTAGTACGTAGTATGACTGTAAAAAACAGCTGTTAATAACTATTATAATCCTACGTGCATTCACAAGAGTCAGTGTAAATAGCAGTCAATGTAAACAATTCAGTTGACAAATGATTTTTGAGACCATAGAATTCATGAAATCGTGGACAAGTGGTATGACAACGTTTGACATGTTTGATGAAAGTGTATAGTATATAGTACGTGGTATGAGCATGAAGAAAAGACTACTAATAAGGTTAGATTATTTTAACAGAGAAGCCTGATTTTAATAGAAAAACTTGATTTTCAATTTAATCGGTGGAATTGTATTTAAATTTCGATTTTAACCCGTTTGCATAGCAAGGCGAAATATTCCGCGAGTAAATTATGAAATGATTTCACATAATCAATGATACAATATTGATATAAAATAATCAGTCGTTAATATTGGGACGTGTTTTTAATATCGAATGAACGAACGAACATTGTCGATGAGTGAATAAATATTCTCAATACGTGGAAACTTCTGTCTCCGTGTAAATTTTATGGAAATATTTCGTTGACTTTTCTTACGTAAAAAAGCTATAACTCAGATGAAATAGTTAGCCAGAATCGTAAAGTATTAGATACGATTCAATTTTTGTATAACAGTAATTCTTTAATCGAATTTCACGTTATTTTATCGCGTGGAAATCTAATTTATGGGACTGTGCTATCCCATCAGTAAATATACATACGTATTGATTAATAGGGCTATTATTATCCTAGCGATTTTTTTCTAGCGATTTCAGCACTTTAAAACATCCCCTCGCTTTCCATATTCATTATCATTTTCCATATTCGCCGGAAGCAGAAAGAAAAAAGGCTATATCAAATGCATCGTGTCAAGATCAAACACTGATATTCAGATTTAACATTACATGTTCGAAAAATATTTAACCACCATCGTATTTTCCATAAAACTTTCAATCCATTTGAAATTACATTCTGTATATTTATCTTCGATTGATTCAACTTTGGATGCTTTTATCGGCTTTAAATAATAAAGTAAAAACGTTTTACTAATTTACGTCGATTCGTCACCATTCAATTCGATTGCACTTGTCAAATATTCCTTCGTTCCTATAATTTCTTAACTCAATTACTTCCCTTTGATTTCTTATAGCTCAAACACCATCGTTTAATAAAACGATCACATTAAGTTTTAACTCTCTCTTACTATTTTAGATTTTAGTATTTAATTTTGTCCTCTTACTATTTTAGATTTCTCCTCTATTTTAGATTTTAGTATTTAATTTTCTCCTTTTACTATTTTAGATTTCTTCTTTATTTTAGATTTTAGTGTTTAATTTTCTCCTCTTACTATTTTAGATTTCTTCTCTATTTTAGATTTTAGTATTTAATTTTCTCCTCTTACTATTTTAGATTTTATTATCCTCTTGCTGTTCACTCAGTATTCTCTTACTATTCTCTTTTCGTCTCTTACTATTTTAGATTTTATTATTCTTTTACTATTCACTTAGTATTCCCTTACTATTCTTGTAGTATTCTCTCACTATTCTCTTAGTATTCTCTTTTCTTCTCTTACTATTTTAGATTTTACTGTTCTCTTATATTCATTTAGTATTCCTTACTATTCTCTTAATATTCTCTCAGTATTCTTTTACTATTCTCTTTTCTTCTCTTACTATTTTAGATTTTGGTATTTAATTTTCTCACATTTTAGATTTTAGAAATTCAGGCATTTAACTTTTACCAGCTGCATAACATTCAGAACTTCAACACTTCAAAACAATTTAAGCTTCGATAAATCAGAGACAGATCGATATATCGTTTCACGACATTATTGAGTTGAATAATAATCGCTGTATTAACATTCGTAAAAATTTCAGCTTTGATAAAAGCACAGATCAGAAATATCTCGTGCAAACCGAGATATTTGGTATGTAAATAACATTCTGCTTTAAACTTCCTCTTTTGTTTCCAACAATAACACCAGACAGCTCTCGCGTATAAATTCCTGCGTGAGTCCGCGGAAGTGTTACGTGAATCGCGACCTGAAAATCTCGAAAGGGAAGTATCGTCAAAGGAGGAGCGTGAATCGAAGTGGAGCATAAGGGTGATTCGCCGACGTTGAAAACTCGCCGGAAGGCTGACCAGATAAAGCGTGACGCTTTTTCTTTCAGCTGCGGAATAATCATGAACGAATATTGCACGAACTGTTACGAAATCGTTATTCAGTCGTGAAATTCTCGCCGTTGTTGATTCGACGCTCGAGAATGCACGTTATTTCGATTCAATTTGACATACTACGTTTGTACAATACTAACAGGCAGTGATCAGAGAAACGAAAACTACTAGAATTTTTTTTTTTTATGAACGTGCAATTAAAAAGATTGAATTTAGGAAATTTATTTGTCGTTCAATGTTGTCTGTTAAATGCTGCAAAGAGTTTGGATGTTCTGCGTAGTTTTATCTTTAAATTTCCCGCTCATAGTTCGTGTAAAAATCGAGTAAGTAAGACAGTAGAAACTACGAAATAAATGAAAGTTTAAAGAAAGTTCTTTGAAACAATTTAATAACAATTTAATAATTATGAATATCTACATATGTAGGTAAAACAAGTAATTGATGCATTAGATGGCGGACTTTTCTGTTCACACACGCGCGTTTTCCACAGAACAGAGTTCGAGAACAGAGATCTCGTGCTGAAAATTAGTGGAAAAATCCGGCAAAAATTTTGGTCGTATCAAGAGTAATTCACTTTGGAGCCGTTATGCGGCAAATAATGAAGAGCACAGAAATGGTCACGTCCCAATTTCGATCACGAGAATTGAGTTTCTGTTGCAGTGCTTTAAATTGAAAAATCATGGTCGTACGATCATTCCGCGGAGATCTTGACTTCTATTTCCATTCTTTTGAAATTTTTAATGCTGTACTTGTAAAAGACGGTTCGGTAAAAGAAATATTTCTAAACGAAACCAATGTAAACAAATAAATATAAAATATCACTCGATTGCCAAGTATTGTGATTTTTTTGTAATATGAAAATAGTTTAAGTTTTCAACTGCGCATTTGTTTTCAACCTGTGCGCTTTTTTATATCGCGCGAAATGTTGCTCTTCTAATCGGCGTGTTTGTTCCACGTTTTATATCTCCGCGGTAAAAGCGATACGCGGTAAAACAGAAATTGGAAGTTAAGAGATACATGATGATCGTTGATCGTATTAAAAGCGCAAACAACGCGGCGCCATTTAAAGTGATCGATATCGTATTCAATATTGCTCTATAAATGCACGTTGCACCGCAAACGGAAGAAAAAAAAAAGAACATTTACGCGCAGCGAGATCCCTCCGATGTTACATACTTCGATTGTGATATTCTTTTCTCTTTGAAAAGAAATGATTGATATTGGGAAGAGACTCCGGAGATAAATATTTCTCATCGAGAGTTAGATATTTGCACCGCTTTCGAACTTTCATATTTTACGCCGTCGGAAGTTGCATTTTCTTTTTTGCATAGAATGAATTAGAACAACATTCGTATATATTATAGAAAAGTTTCTATTCATATATCGTTTGAAATAAATTTTAAAATAACATACATAGAAGTTGCAAAATATTTATTGTGCGTATTTCATAAATATCAAAGTGTTTGAGCAAGCAGTCACATGTTCATTACATAAAACATATATAGTACGTATATTAATCTTCAACTAATTGTGTCTGGTAACTTCTATGTATAAGTATGTAAATATAACTGTATAATAATATTATACATTATTATTTAAATAATTTTTGTAAGTTTTGTACTATATATATATATTCATTCATATTATTTCAATCTCTACGTATAAATATGTAAATATAACTGTATAATAATATTATATATTATTATTTAAATAATTTTTGTAAGTTTTGTACTATATATATACTAAATATACAATTATATTTACATATTTATACATAGAAGTTGAAATATATATATATATATATATATATATATATATATATATATATATATATATAATTGTATAATAATATCATATAATATTATTTAAATAATTTTTGTAAGTTTTGTACTATATATATTTCAAGTTCTACTTGAATCCAATAGTACAATCATTAAATTAATAGAATATCTATTTAAATGTAACCACCCTACACAAAATTACCTTATTCTCAAGATACAAATTCTCCATGTGGATCACATTAATTTGATTCAGTCATTTACTCCCCCTCGATAATAAATCTTCCATATTCCCCCTATGGAATTCTTCCACATTCAGTAACAGAAAACTCAAGAAATATTCATTTAAATCGAACAAGCTACCCCATCATGCAGTGCCATCGTTCTTACAGTTCTTTATTCCCAAAGTGACTCGGTTTCACCGCGTGTAATCGCATTAACGATACGAAGTCGCTAAAAGGGCGATCATAAAACACTGCAGTGAATGCCTCTTTATCATTATATTTCTATCTGTTTCGAAGCATTCCAAAGCTCCCGCGACGGTTTCGCAGAGTGTTGGCCACCGATCGAGAGAGAGAAGGGACTTGAAAAATTCAAAGTGCAAGTCGATCGAAGAGAGTATGCAAATGAGCACGTTTCCCGCCCGGAGAAGGGGTGAAGCATGGAGCGTGGCTACGGCCACGACGACTTCCTCTGTTTTTCTATCTCTTCCGGTAAACACCGTTCGCAACGGATGTTTTCTCCCTTCGTTGCTCTTCCGACAATTTGTTCACGCGCGCTATCGCTTAACAATGTCTCCTTGCTTTCCTTCAATTTCCACCGGCCCCCCACCCTCTCTATTCGTTTTCTCTTACAACCCCATAATTTCCACTCTTCTCTTTCTCTTTTTTTTTTTTTTCTTTAATCTCTTGCATTGAAATGACGCACGTCGAGAATTTTTTTGTCCTATGATTGCAATATTTCCTCGGTAGTCATATTTTAAATATAATATTAAATATATATTTTAAATATGTTATAATATAATTATAATGTAATATAATATAAATATACATCTTAAATATATTAATATTTAAATATTTTCTCAGTAGTCATATTTTAAATATAATATTGAATATATGTTTTAAATATATTATAATATAATTATAATATATTATAATATTAAATATATATTTTAAATATAATATAATTATAATATAACATAATATAAATATATTATAATATAATTATGATATATTATAATATTAAGTACATATTTTAAATATATTAATATTTAAATATTTTCTCAGTAGACATACTTTATATATTTAAGTATAACCAAATATACAGGCAAAACAAATAATAAATTTGTTACTTCGCGATAATTTCTATCCAGTGATATCATACCGACGAGTTCAATAAGAAAGCGACGAATTATTGTATACGATTTGGTCACTCGTTGTGGTCCGCAATCGGTGGTCAATCATAGGTTTTAATCCCCTGCGCTGGCAACTGGATCGCGGACCATAACGAGCGACCGAACCGTACACAATAATTCGCCGCTTTCTTTTCCTTTTGAACTCGTCGGTATGATATCACTGGATAGAAATCATTAACAAGTAATCAACTTGTCATTTGTTCTGCCTGTTACATTTAAATGTACTTAAAATGTTGCAAATGTTGCAATTTGGGATAAAAAATTCACGACGTGCGTGGCACGCAAGAGATTAATAATGAAAAAACAAAAATAAAAAAAATGAAAAATACGCGAAGAAAGAAAGCGAGAGAAAGGAGAGAGAGAGAGAGAGAGAGAGAGAGTAGCGAAAGAACGAGTTTTCACGATTTTTCATAGGTTTCTCGCGCTTCGGCTGCTTTTAATTCGCAAAAGTAAACAGCCAGAAGTTCATACGATTTCGTTCGTTAATTTGTACCTCCACCTTCCCCTTTTCCACTTCGTAACTCGCCAACTTTCCACTTTCTCCCTCCCTCTCTCTCCCTCTCTCTCTCTCTCTCTCTCTCTCTCTCTCCCGTTCTGGCTGGCGCATCGTCCGGCTTTTGCTCGCGGAATATCCTCAGGTAGCTCGTTTCCAGCCGGGCGAAAGAGTTCATAGAGGGCGAATCACAGGCGAAACAAAACGCGGGGCGAAACCCTCGGTTCCTTCATTATACGAGAGACTCTTCTTCTCTCTTTCCGCCTCTGCTCGTCTTACGTTTATCTTTCAGCCGGTCTTGTTCTCGTCATTCAAACGCCAGGCATGCACACGCGCTCGCTCTCCTCTCGTTGTAAAGCAGCATCCGAAGAGTCCCTCTCCTTCTCTCGTGTCTTTCTTTCTCTGTTCCATCTGCTCCACTTCCACGATCATCCACCCTCTCTCTCTCTCTCTCTCTCGCTCTCTCTCTTCCACCCTCGTTTCCATTCCTTACTTTTAACCGCTCTCTCGCATCCTCCACCCGCGTCGAACGTGACCCACATATATTTCACTGCTCCGCTTCGTTTCCAACGTCGATATCCTCTTGTTTCGGCCATCGATAATTTCCCAACGTTTCCCTCCACAGGGGAAAAATGCACTCGTGGTACCTTCCTTCGTCGATCCTCGCACGTACGTGCGGGATCATCGATACCAACGTCGACGTTCGTCCCACTTTTCAAAATCGGCCATTACCCCGATCGGCAGACAACTGCACGACAGGATGCAAGGACTTTAACTGGCTCTTACGACGCACTCGGTTTGGAACCCTGTGGTCCTGCTTGGCTTGGAATTTTGTAGTTTCGTATCGTGGATTTTACTGTCGAGATTGACAGGTTTAAATCTACAGGGTCTTATCGTCTTATAAAAAGATTTTGACATTTTTATTAAAATTTTAAATTCATAATTTACATGTGAGACAGTATATATTTCATTAATCCTTTCATTCCAGGTTTCACTTAAAGATCAGTTGATTGTGCTACCTTTATACAGTCAATTATACTGCAGCCAATAAATTATTCATTGGGCAGAGTGACGTAAAATTATTTTCAATAAGACATGTTTTTGATAAACAGATGAATATATTTATTTTCTAATTCCTTATATATGCATATATATATTTTATTATTAATATAGTATACGTATATTTATTATAGCCAACTTTAAAAAATTAAACTTTTTTTTTAATAATTATATATATATATAATAAATTTGATAAATTTATAATTAATGTTATTATAATAATTATATTATTAATATATTATACGTATATTTATTACTAATTTAATTATTATATCCAACTTTAAAAAATTAAACTTTTTTTTAATAATTTAATATATATAATTAAATATATATATATATAATAAATTTAATAAATTTATAATTATCTTTTTAAGAAAAATTAATGAATTATGAAATTTTCTCTATTATTAATTAATACTAGAATCACAATTTAAAAGAATAAAATTATATATTATATAAACAAATTTATTGTTTATTTCATAAATTTTTTCTCGACTATAAGGACGAGACGCGAGAGAGGAAAGTTTGATTAGAAGTATCTACATGTGTCGTAAAATCGAGTCATGTTAAACTTAGCAAAGTTTTTAGTAGTAGTTTTTCGACGTGGTTTAGGTTTCGTCAGAGGTTTGAATTTTTGATTTTCATTTTCGTCGAAGTGCTTCCGATATATTGTTTTAGGTTTCTACTCCAAACTTCGAGATTTGGCTGTTCAAAATTTCTTTTAATATTAAAGTCCTATTTTTTATCTCGTGCCTTGTTCATTTTCTTTTTTTTTATTCGCGTCATTTCTACCGTTGCCAATTAATATAAAACTCGTGCACGCGATTTCAACATATTTAATGCAACAAAGCTATTAGAAATTTAACGTGGTTTTACATTTTACGAGAGATTACGTTCGCATTATGGAAATAAATTAGCAATTTCAGTAGGTAATTATCGATGAATCTACAAAATTGCCAAAATTACATGCTGGAAATGTGACGTCGTATCATATTGCGCTCACTTTAATATTGCATACTATTTTCGCAACATTTTCTGCCGTTTATTGTCAGCCGTTGTATGTCAGTGTGAAAATGAAACGAGATTAAACAATTCATTTTAGAGTTATTACTGCCAGCTTAATATATTCGCATAATATATTAATAATTGTAGATTTCACTGTAAACTTTTATTGCAAAGTATTAATCAATTATATTTCACAATTAACTGCGACTCTACTTCGAAATGCGTACGATAATAATAAAATAATTCAAACAAAAATCATCTTCACAAGGAGACAGAAATATAATTATTTCAAAATATTCCCGAATTAAATTATTGGTGACCACGATTGTTCAAAACGTTTCCAAATACTTTTTTTGAACATTTTAATTCAGCATAAAGGATCACGTCGAACATAATAAAACAATTCACACTCGAGACACGTTAAATATTAAGTTAGACTCAAGGAAAAATTACTGGCTCGTTCAAAGCCATATAGAAAAGATAAAGACGATGTATGTTGCTCGATATAATTCTCGTATACCTTAGAAATACTTCGTTCGAACGACCCTGAAATAAATTGAGAAACGCAACAAGTCCGGCAACAAGATTAATCCCTTCCAATTTCCTTCGAAAGCGACCAGAGTCATCGTTTCTCTTAAAGAGAGAAAAAAGAAAAAAAAAAAAAAAAAAAAAAAAAGAAACGCAAGGCTGACCACCTTGCAAAGGTTCGCGCAAAATTCCTCAAGGCAGAAACGCAATCAGGCACAAACGACGGCTTGTCCCGAAACAAAGATAACGCGAGCGGAAAAGGAAATTAAATTTTGTATCTACCGCCGGAGAGCACCGTGGCTCGCGAGCACCAATATTCGTTCTTGATTCTTTCCTTGTCGTTTCCCGCGTCCCAGGAATATTACGCCTTTAAAGATTCATATTACTCGCGAAAAGCCGAAAAAAACAAGATCGTCCGCGATGCCTTTGATCCGTGCCCGATGAAAGGTGAATTATTTGAAAAATTCGCGTGCCTCCAGCGAAAGAGATAGAGACAGAGAGGAGAGAAGAAGGACTCTACGGAAGTGAGATCGTTCGTTTGGTCAATTAATGCATTTGTTTGCATTATTTATTTATTACGGCATTTACGCGATACTCGGATACACGTGAATTATTAATAAAAGTTGTCTAGAATTGGGATTACAATCGTTACTGCATTTTCACGTTGCAAAAAAAAAAAAAAATTAAACAATAAAAGGAACAGAGTCTGACGCAAGTAGTTCTGTAGTTCACTGTTATCGAAACTGTACAATGTTTTATAAATATAAATATATTTATAAATATGTTTACGTAAGAAAACTTTACATTCGTAATATATTTGTAAATATATTCATAAAAAAGTGATATATTATAAATAAAAATACATAATATATTAAAATAATATATTAAGAAAATAATATATGTATTTATAAATATATTCATAAGAAAACTTTACATTCGTAATTTATTCATAAGAAAATAATATATTTATAAATATATTCACGAGAAAATAATATATTTCTAAATATATTCATTAGAAAATAATATTATGAATAATTATGAATAAAAATAAATTATATATTAAAATAGTATATTAAGAAAATAATATAAAATAATATATGTATTTATAAATATATTCATAAGAAAGCTTTACATTTGTAAATATATTATATATATATATATATATTTATAAATATATTCATAAGAAAATAATATAATATATTTATAAATATATTCATAAGAAAATAATATAATATATTTATAAATATATTCATAAGAAAATAATATATTATAAATAAAAATAAATAATATATTAAGAAAATAATATAAAATAATATATATGTATTTATAAATATATTCATAAGAAAACTTTTTTTACATTCGTAAAATTTATTCATAAAGAGTTGCTATATGCGTTCAAACATTTTCGTGAGCCGTATAGCAAAAATTTAGCATATCAACTTCATACTGAGAGAGATTAAACAATAAAAAGAATAGAGTTTGACATAATAAACAATTGAATAAATGTAAAGTATCAATAGTGAAGCGTAAAATTATAATATTTAATGGATCGCGTTGATCCATTTAATTAGTAATTTTTAGTTGGATCGTTAAAAATCTAATTGTTTAATGCAGTCTGCAGTCTAGTAATTGCAAGCTATGCTGTGGATTGAGGATTTGAGGATTTTTCTCCATCGAAATCGAAACTTATCGCAAGGAAACATCATTTTGGAACCTTGGGACAACGTTTGACAAGCAGTTTCAATGGAAAAGTTCAAGCAACCGATGATGTATAATTTCTCCAGAGAACTATTCTGAAGGAGCCAAAGGAGCATTTCATTTCTCCTTTACATTAAATGACGTATTAATTTCGTTATATTTCAGACACAGCATTCAATTATGACTCGCCTGTTTCCGTTTTCTATAATCTGTAATAATTGTATATCTACGTAAATTTTTCTGTTGAAATCATGCCGTTTCGCTCTATTTTAACGTTTCTACTACTAGATTAGGACATCGTATACCATTTTTATCTTCATCGTGCTAGCTGTGCTTGATAATTCAGTAATTCTTTAATATTAAATCTATCTTCTAGATTTACTAAATCTATTCTCGAAAATCCTCCCCTTGTCAGGTCGATGGTGAAAATAAACTTCAGGAAACTTTCGTTTCTAAACCTGTTGGGCGAATTATCAATCGACTCGCAGAACATTTCAGCGTTCTAAAACGTGGCGCGCCTGTTCCGAATCGATCGAAGTTATCAAAATGCAAACGATTCGGTTAACAAAATTGCTTTCGGCTCTGTATCCTCCAATTTCAACGCGTCCCAGCCGCTGAGAATCCTCTCGAGTGGAATTGTTTCCGACGACGAATTCCGTATCATCTATCAGAAATCACGAATTGTTGAAAAAAAAAAAAAAAAAAAAGAAAAATAACTGCGAGCTCGAGATGACAATTTCGACTGACGTTAAAAATAATGGACTGTTGCGGGGCGGTCGCGGCACGGCGAAATAATTACGTCGGCCACGACTAATGTCCGCTTTAATTAAGGAGGTCCAGGAGGCAGCGGCGGCTGGAAGACGAGGTAGAAAATTCGTGACCAGGGCATCGAGTGCTCTCTCGAGAGGAGCGCTCATACACTCCATTGCTGACCGAGATATCCACTCACACACTCGGTTTTCCGCCGGGAAATCGGCGAAAAATTTTGCCAACGACTCACGTGCTACTTATTTCTTAATTATCTCTGGGTATTCTGTACGCGTATATGCATACGTACGTACGTGTGTGTGTGTGTGTGTGTGTGTGTGTTCCTTTCATACTCCAACGAGAAACCATTGGAAATTAGTCGGATGTTTTGGTTCATCGATATCAGAATTAAACTTTCAATGTGTACTTGTATTTGAATAGTTGCGAAAGATAATTTGAAATTTTGAAATTTCATTTGCCACGTCACTTCGTTCCGCTGAATTTCATTATTACGAAATTTTGTAATCTCATTAGTATCGCGATGAGTTGCACGGCGTACGAAGTTGGCAAAATTTGAAACCAGTTATAATTATAAATATTATATGTAGGAATTATGGAGACATTTATTGCAAATAAGTTAGTAGTTAGAGAAGTTTTTCAATACTCACTAACACGAAATATTTATTGTACAGTTTTGTTAATACTGTCATAATTATATTGGGAAAATTTTTATCCAATTTAAAAGTGTAATAGTTACAAGATATAGTACTGATACATATTTAGTACGCAGTACGAATGAGTATCATTCGATTGTTAAACGTTTAAATATTTTTATGATGTCTGCTGCTGTATTAAATAATTTCTGTACACATTTTTAAACTGCACCGAGATAATCACGACAGTTGTATCTCGTCATATTATTAATGAAATTTTAAAATGTTTTACAGATATATTCAAAAAACTTTAAATTCATAAAATACATTCATAAAATATACTAAATTTTTCCTATAGATAGTATACACACTGTACAAACGGTAAAAACATTGAATTTACTACACATAGTAAAAATTTAGTACTACAACTTGAATGGTCATTTTAGACATCAAAATCGATATTTATTTCTCTAATTAATAAAAACACAAAGATTTTGTCAAATACAGAGTTATAACATCTACATAATTACAATATAAATAAATACTGATTATCATTACTTTATCTATACTGTTTTCTACACTACAAAAGTACTAGAGCTACAAAAGTGACCAATTTATAATTTTCGTTAAATATTTTATAGACGCGAAACAGCGTATTTTAAATAATTTTTCATAAATATATGCTCCATTGCATCATAAAGTTTCTCCATTTTTTTCTTTTTTTGACTTTAATGTCTCTGATGGAAATTTTACGTTTACGCTTTAATCGTCTAGTGTTAAATGCACAAACAAGATAGATAGATAATGTTTAATCACCCATATAAATAAGCGTACATCTACTAAAGACCCTGCTACTTAATTACTACTGAAGATCCTACTGCTTTACGATATATTCGGAGTTCATAGCAGAATGGAACACCCGTAACCGACATTTCGTGGATTGTAAGTTACGAGAAAGACGATCGTTATCGCGTACCCTATTAGCGAAGAAAAATTCGCTAGTTTGGAAAAGAGGAACTTTGTCTCTCTCTCTCTCTCTCTCTCTAAAATTACCAAGACTAGCTTTTGATCTATATTTTGCTCGAGATAATGCGATTTGAAGGGAGGAAGGACCGTGAAATTTATTCTCCGGGGCGAAAACTTCGTCAGCACTTCTTTTTAACGTAATCTCGCAGTTGCTTTTAACAATTTCTTTTAGAGCGAGGTAAATAACACAAACGGCATTGTGCTTTTTAAAGTTTCGTACGTTACGAAATATCGTATGTGAATTTAACGTAGAAAATGTAGAAGTGCCGATTTGACAGATTTTTCTATTCCTGCAATGAAATACTTCACCGAAAGACTTCTTTCAGGCACGTCCCACTGGAGAAATTTATATTTATATTATTAGTTTAAATTCATTTAGCGTTTCTTGATTAATAACAAATGACATTTCTTTACGTGTAAAATTTCTGAAATTGAATTGCAAGGATCTTTCTATCAATTCAATTTATCAAGGACCAACGTCACATTCCACTTGCAATCTTTTTTAGATCAATTTATTAAACGAATTCCATTTTTTGACACTGTGGCCGTAAAAGAACTCGCTCAACTTTTTTCTTGTAAACTATACAAATAGATATCAAATTTTCCAATTTTATGAAACTTAAAAAAAATTGATTACGATTAGACTGCGAGTCTTTATCCAAATTCATATTTTTGAGAATATTAATTAAAAAGAATAGAAAATTGAAAACTGTGTTGTCAAAAGGCACTGCCATACACTGGATATTACACATACATTATTTTGTATTATGATGTATTCATTTGTTTATAAATTTCCACCATAAAATTTCTTACAGAGGGTAGAGTAGGAAACCGCGATCTAATTGTGATAAATTATAGGTTGAGCCTTAATGGCCTAATACCGGTAAAATTCGAAAACAGTGTGTGTCTGTGTGTGTGTGTGTGTGTGTGTGTGTGTGTGTCTGTGTGTGTGTGTGTGTGTGAATATTTTCACACGTTACCTCGTGGCAATTAATAGGCGACAATTACCAGGGATTATTACATCGTTTGTTCGTAGATAGCGACGCTTTGATAGGCAACTTAAACGTTATTTCCATTAAACCACTATTAACCATTTGGTACGTGTTATCAGATATTAATAATGCCGGAGAGAAATTTAGCAATTAACTATAAGCGCCAAGCGTTTAATAATAAAGGCATATCTCTGACTCGGCGCTTTTGAAGGCCCGCGCTTTAATAATGCGGCCGACCCCTCGATTAAAAATTAAATTGAAAGGGCGGGGGGGGGGGGGGGGGGGGGGGGGGGGAGGGAGAGGGCCTATTAGATCAGTATCTGATTTAACTACGCGTTGTTTATTACTAATTACACCGCGTTGCGCTTCGAAAGTATAAAGGAGAAAGCACGAGGCAACGGAACTCATGAATGCGTAAACGAGTTAAACTACAGGTTTAATTAATTCTCGGGGGCGCAGGCGTTGGCAATATAACACGACGTCGGAGAAAAAAATGTAACGGAACAACGCGACGATAAACGAAAAATAAGTTTTAATGGCCGCGATGTGGAGGGAGAGTGGGGGGGAGGGGGAGGGGGAACTCCGCGTGAGCAAAAGTTCTTTCTTTTTTGATTAAGAAAACCCAACTTTATTCATCTAATCCAATCCAGTTGTTAGGAAATGAATTTTCTGTCAATTGAACTAGTTGAGACTAAAATTCAGCTAGTGTAAGAAATTTTGTAACATCGTTGTTAAGGATGAGTTTAGAAAATTTCGTCCTCTCCATGCACACGGCAAATTCAATCATCGAAGTCGATTGAAATCAGTCATCAGCTGTTAAATGAAATTGGTGTCACTGTTCGAGGAAAACGTTGGTTTTGCATGATCAGGAAAATTTATATTAAATTTATAAATTTTATAAAATTTAGAAAATCTACAAAACTTATAAAATTTAGAAAACTTGTAAAATTTGTAAAATTTATAAAATTTATATCAAATTTGTATTATCAAGGAAATTTATGTAATTAGGAAAATGTAATATAACACACACGTATATTAAATAATTCGTGTTTTATATTATTTTATATTATTATTTTTATGTTATATTATTATATTTTATATTATTATATTTTATATTATTTTTATTTTATACTATATTTTATTTTTATATTATTTTTATATGTACTATTATATTTTATTTTTATATTATTTTTATATATACTATTATATTATATTATATTTTATTTTTATATTATTTTTATATTATTAATATATTATATTATATTTATATTTATATTATTATATATTATATTATATACTATTATATCATATTTTATTTTTATATTATTTTTATATTATTAATATATTACAAATCACGTTTATATGATTAGGAAAACACCGGGGGAGACGCAATTGAATGAAATATAGCGAAAGAGGACAAAGTAGAAAGGAAAGTAGTTTTGTAGTAGTATATTATCTAACATTTTGCTGAGAGATCGTAATCGCTCCAATTGCTTACAATAACTTTCCGAACGCTCCAATTTTCTTCGCTCGGAGAAGTTCACAATTCATTTATGACACGTGAAAGATTCCATCGATATAGAAGAGACAAGACTCCTTCTCTCTATCTCTCGTTCACTCTGCGAAAAGGCTCGAAATTTTCGTCCGGGCTCCTCTTTTCACTCTTCTCTCGTCTTGCCACCCTTTTCACAGGAGAAGTCAATGCCGAAGTGTAACGCCGCGGAAATTGAAAAGTTCGAACGAGCTCGATCTAGTCACGTCATCGAAAAACCATCGAGATCGGCGAAAGCTTTTTCCATCGTTATCTTTCGCGTCGTACAACCGTCGATACATCTCGACGCAGAGAAAAAAAAAAGAAAAAAGAAAAAAGACAGGATTCAAGCACGAAAATGCAAAAATTCTTTCTTCCACGTAGGCTTTTACCATTTTAGAATTTTAATCGCGTTTCATCATCGTCAGAATTATTATTATTCGATCTGCGTGATTAGATTTTACTTTACTTTTCACTTCAAACAAATTGGATAAAATTTCTCTATTTTAGTTTGTTATCGATTCTCTATGGAAGATTGTTCTCAATTCGGTATTTTAAAATAAATCGGATGTAGAATATGAAATAAATGTCACATTGGATTCAGATGATACTTGCAGATACCTTTACCTTCCAGCAGAATGTTTTTCTGTTAGATTTTACGTTTCATTCTCACGTTGTCGAGCATTTTTGTGTACGTGTGAAAGTATATTTGCCATTAAATGATATGAAATATTAATATTTAGAATCTAACATTGATTTTCGACATTTAGTGGCTTGATGGGAAGACAGATCCGAAGACAATGGAAGAAAATGTCGTACTTCAAAAATATTAGAAGAAAGTTAGAACAAAGACAACGTGTAATCGATTCAAAAAAAATATATTTGGCACAGATCAACGTTTATGTGTTGTGAATGCTTGTATTATATCTTGTTTTGAAATATATCACACACAACAGAGCATTGCTGAATATGTACATAAATTCGGAATATATTCAACGAAACATAATTTCTTCTTACGAAATGACAATTTTTCCGTATTTGAAAGATTGACGAAAGATCCAGCACGATTGATTGAAATAATTTCGGATTTCATCAAGTAATTTAACAGATTGGCTGAGTGATCACCGATTGAAATAAGATCGACTAATAAATTATTGACTGAAATAATTTAAAGACTGACTAATTAATCAGTTGTCGAGACGATTACGGAATCGATTAATTAAACGTTAGCTGAAATAATTTCAAGATTGACTACATAATCGTTGGTTAAATAATTACTATTTAAACATTGTAATAAATACAATGGCGTGTCAATACTTTTTATAGCCGCGATACACAGTTCAGTGATTAATTAAATCTAAAGTTAAAAGATTAAATAAATTTGCCGATAAATGCAAGCGCATTTCCAATGTCATTTCGCTCAATTTTTATTTTCATTCGCTCGGTAGATTAGTTTCTTTTTTTACAAATATCGAACATCAACAATGTACCAATTGAACTCTCAAAATGTCATCAGTTAGGCGGAAGCCACATTACGAAACATCAAAATTAATTATCTATCGTTCTGACCGTCAGTAACTAAATTATTTTCAATATATATCTATGTATGTTATATATATTGAAAATATATAATCTGTATAGAGATAATGTAACTTTTTCACTTTTTCTTAAACCTACACAGTTTCAATTTTCACGTCATATATTATATATATTTCACATTGTTTGTCCAAAAATATCAATATAAATAAATTAATGAAAATATCTATGAACATTAGAATTACCATATAAAAATATTCTACAAGTCACACAGTCATACATTAGAACCATCATATCAGAATATTTCACATTATAATTTACATAACAAATGAAATAAACTCGCACAATTATGTTTCTGTGCAACCAGAAATTGATTATTGAAATTAATTTTCACAAGAATCCGGTTATAGTGTTTAGACGATAAAATTGTAATAACCTCCACATGTACATGGAAAAACTCTTCTACAGGGTGGCCACTGAAAAGCTGAAGGTTTTGAAAAAGTCATAACTTTTTTTTTTTCTGTAGGTTATAGAGAAAAATCTATTAATTATATTTCCACACAAAATAATAAAATAATAAAAAAATTAACATAATAAAATAATAAAATAATAAAAAAATTAACATAATAAAATAATAAAGTAATAAAATAATAAAATAATAAAATAATAAAATAGTAAAATAATAAAATAATAAAATAATAAAATAATAAAATAATAAAATATTAAAATAATAAAATAATAAAATAATAAAATAATAAAATAATAAAATATTAAAATAATAAAATAATAAAATAATAAAATAATAAAATAATAAAATATTAAAATAATAAAATAATAAAATAATAAAATAATAAAATAATAAAATATTAAAATAATAAAATAATAAAATAATAAAATAATAAATTAAAATAATAAAATAATAAAAAAGACGCGTTTGTAAAAGTTATTCTTGCTCTATGGTCTTTCGCTACATAATTTCTTACACGATTGTTCGAATTAGATTCAAGGAATAAAGTTCTCAGCCCCGGGACGTGAGATGTCTCAAACCTTCCGGAAATATAGGCATGCACACTCAGGATCGAACAAAACCACTTCTTTTCTCTCCTCTCGTTTTCGAGCTACGCGTCACGCTCTGTCTACACGATGCTAGAGAGGTGTTGTCGTGGTCGCGGAACGATTCAATAACCAGCGGAACGCAATTGCTTAAACCGCGCCGTGGCCCACGCTCGCTTACCCTTTATCACTATCGTTTGATCGAGGGTAGCGCCACGGTTTTCACCTCTTGACCGCCAGACCGCCACCTTTCATCAAATATAAATTCCGCCAGAGGTTTCATTTCCACCGGCGCGAAACGTGCAGGTAATTTCATCCTCATCGCGGGGATGCACCCCCCGCGAGACTTTTGTTATACGTTGCCGAACCGTCCGGTTAATCCGACTAACGTGACGCGTTACCCTTTTGGGAAAATGCTGGATTTTTTTTTTTTTTTTTTTTTACCTCGGTTCCTCGGCGACGTTAACCGAGAGAACGGTGTGATTTTCTGCGACGGACGTGTAAATAAATTTCTCAATTATCTGGACTGTTCTGCTGGCTTGTAATTCTTTCAATATGACGTTTCTTTTTTTTAAGAAAAAAAATACGTTTTCGACCTCCATCGATTGATTTCTCGTTTCAATGATAGGAGAAATAGTCAACAGCTAGGTGGAAAAGTCGATGAACTGAGAAATTTACTGAAATATATGATATAATGGAATGTGGAATATGGAAGTGAGTTTCTCGGGAAATTAAAGAAAATATAGGAATTTTCTTAATTTTGGCTAGTTCGCTGACTCAATTTTTTTAATATGACATTTCTGCCTTTTTTTTAAATACGTTTTCGATCTCTCCCGGTTGAGAAAATGAATCTTTTATTGAAAAAACCGATAGCGAAATAGCTAAAATTGGGTGAAGCCGATGAAATATTTATATATAATATAATGGAATCTGGAATGAGGAAATAAGTTCCCGAGAAATATGCAGTAACTACGATATAGTGTATAAATAAAAGAATATATAAAGTAATATAAATTTAACACAAAGTTAAATTTAATAATTTCGTATAAGTTTAAATATTTTTTAACTCGTCAGTTCGTGACGTTATTGACGGACATTTGGAATTGTATTCTGAAATATTTGACGTGTCTATGGATATTCCGTGTATGTACATATGTACGTGTAAATAGTTTGGGAGCAACGGAGGTCCACCGGAGAGAAACATGATATTTATGCATTTATGACAAGTGCGGATATGCAAAAATGTACGAGGACGTGTAGAGATGTAAAAATATGTAAAATATCGAAAATAAAATGCATGTCCTTTCAGACGAGTTGAAATTTTTTTACTACTACTTGGAAAAGTATGAGTTTACATAAAAATCAGCGATATAGTTGTCAGTTTTGACAGCCACGAAAATATTATACGCATGTCGTATTATGAAACATTCTGAAATTTCATCGACAATGTAGCATCTATATTGATCAAATTTAAAATTTCGAGATACAGCGAGTACTATCATGAAAATATTTAAACAGCATAACTTTGTACTAAATATACACACATCTTACAATTTGCAAATTTTATCAACATAACTCATGACAATTTTAACAAAATTTCATATTTTATATAACACATATATTTTTAACATTAATGAACATTAATCATATATATAAATCTTCATGATAAATGCTTGAATACTTTCGCGAGCCACTGTATTTGAAAAAAGCGATTTTCGAAGTGAGTCGTTCACCAAAAACGTGGGCAGAGAATCAAGAATCCGTAATCTGGAAATAAAAATTTCTGCTCGACGATATCGGATACGATTTCGTACGTGTCCGAGAATATCAATTCTGCTTTACATTTCCTGTATCGAAAATTGCCCGACCGCGACTTCTCGTAGCCGAGCAAGTTCGAAAAGTCAAAGTTCCAACAGAGCAAAATGCTGCGTTTGAGTGTTCCATCTCTAAAACCGCAGCGCGTTGTGGTTATTTGCCAGGGGAAGTTACCAGAAAATCGTGGTCCCGTTGTTACGGAGAGCGAAAGTGAAAGGGAAAGAGACAAAGAGACAAAGAGAGAGGACGCGCGATCAGCAACGCACGGAATCCGATTTAATTTAATACCGTACGGAAAGGAAACAGTGAACAGCATTAAGTTAACTTATTAACTCCTTGCGCTGGCAAATGATTGCGGACCATAACGAGTGACCAAACCGTATTCAATAATTCGTCGCTTTCTTTTTGAACTCGTCGGTATGATATTATTGAGAAGTAATAAATTTGTTACTTGTTTTACTTGGGTTACACTTACTTAAATATACTTATTTTATATTATACTTAAAAACTGAAAACAACATTGCAATTTTTGGACAAAATATTCTCGACGTGAGTGGCACGTTATTCCAGCGCAAGAAGTTAAAGATATTAACATTCTTAAATATTTACTTTTTAAAGTAAACTTTAATATTCCCTTTTTCAAGTGAACGAAACTATTTCGAAGAATTGTTAAACGATTGATGTAATATAAATATCAATATTAAATTATCTTTAAATAATTACAAACAACTTACAAACACTATTGACACAACTTCTTTCTCAAAGATTTCATTATTTCCAACATTGATAAAACATATGTACACATTGACACAATTTCTTTCTCAAAGATTTCCAACATTGATAAAACATATGTACACATGAATATATGTACTAGGGGTGTGCGAGAACCCGAAAATTTCGAGATTCCCGAAGGAATCCAGTTTCTCGAAAAAGTCGAGATTCTCGAAAATGTCGAGAACCTGGCTACCGTTTCTCGAACTATTCTGCAGCGCTGTGTAGCAGCCTGCAAAATATGTAAATATACAGTTCAATTTCTTCCGCCAGTTTCAGTGAAGTTATTGGAAACGCGGATTCTAAGAATCGTGTGACCTGATGTATACAAACGTGTGACTGCGTGCTTAGTTCATGGACATTACGTACGCATGGACAGCAGTATCGCTGTGGAACTCGGGAAGTTCAGACGTATATTTCAAAATCTGTGTGAATTTAATAAAGATTAAAAATCTTTAGAAACAATGTCGAGTGATAGTGAGAGTAAAGTTGTGGTAGCGGGAAGTAGTGCAGAAGATATCGTGCAAAGGGAGAAGATAAAGAGAAGCTCTGTTTGGGAACATTTTCAAGAAAAAGATGATACAGAGGCGGAACGCACACATTGTCACCATGAATTTTAAATTGTAAGTATGCAAATACTACTGGTTT